TTGCTCCCATATTACATTTTACTTGTTCATGCAAAATCAATGTCTTCTTCAATCTTCAATAAGTGGAAAGTACTATCAGGTTTTCAATTCATTGAATAAATGGGGCCATACATTTAGTGTATCTTTCCAATGCTGTGTATTAGTTTTTTGGCCATAATAGGGACAGAATCTTCTCCTTTTCATAATTCAATCTACCAGCTTTGTGCTTCAAGATAATATTTTGTGAAAATTTTAGCTTTTGTTGTACACTCATATTTATATAATTCACTACTTTCTCCCAAAATTTGGTAACTGTAGGACTGTAAAAACATGTCTTATAAAGAAGTACTATCTTTATACTATCTTCATACTATAAAGAAATACTATCTTTATCTCTAAAGTGCTCCAAAGTGCTATTTCTGACAATCTTTTCCCCTATTTTTTATAATTGGGCTTCCTGATGAAGTCAAATTGGCAAGGGAAAAAAAGGGTCAAATATTTTTTGATCAGTTGTTCTAAACTACTTGCCAACATTGCTGTTAAAATCTTCTTGTCAATATTATCAATGAGATTGGACAATAATTAACACACTGACTATGATCATTATATGTTTTTGTTATAACTGTAATATAAATCTGGTTAAATGCCCGTGATAAAGTTACCTTATCAAATATCACTTTATACACTTTATACACTTGACATAGTTTTGGCACCAAAAGATCTATAAATGTTTTATACCGCTCAAGAATGTGCCCATCTTATCCTGGTATTTTACCACTTGCCATTTTAAAAATTATGTTTTTAATTCTACCTCAGATACAGGAGCAAATAAAAGTTGTTTTTCTGTATCATCTAAAGTTGGTTATACTAATTTTATTTTTAAAAGTTTCTATATCATCCTTCAGTACATTGTTTGGTTTACTACAGGTAGTCCTCCCTTAACAAGGAGTCATTTTACAACTATTTGAATTTACAATGGCCAAAGAATTGGTGTTTTATAGCCTGTAAAGCAACCCCAGACATCATAAATGCCCCCATGTGGTCACATGAATAGATGTTGAGTAGATCAGACTTTATTACTTCCAGCATTCTACAGTCACATGACCACAATTCATACTGGTTTTTGCCAGTTTCTGGCAAAAAGGGCTATACAAATGAATGGATTTAGTTAATGACTTGGGCATTCATTTAATAACTGTGGCATTGACAATAACTGTGATGTTTGCCATTAAAAAAAACCTAACTTTACTTCCGGTCATGCAGGTACTTTCACTTACAATCCTAATGACTTAAAACCATATTTCAAGGCTCAATAATGATCGTAAGACAAGAATTGCCTGTATATAATTCCATTTTTTTTAAATTGTACTTTATAGCCATTGAAATTTTACACAGAAAAAGAATATCTTTTTGTAAGTCTGAATATCTGATACATTATTTGTAAATATTACAGATCTTACCTTTGAAATTATAAATGAATGCTGGGATGAAAGAACATCTTTATATTTTCAGTTTCTTCAGAAGAATGCATTGTGTTCTTAGGAAGTTCTACAATAGTCCTCTTCATATTAAATCAAAAATATTAAATCTTCAGTTCACTAGGCCAGCACTTTAGATTTGTATGATTTGATGCCACAATCAAGAAGTCAAACTTGCAAAAATAAATAAAGCCTTAAAGGAATTGTTTTAAATAAACCAAAAGGAAAGAGGGAAGGGAAATTTCATTAAATATATGGCAATGAGAATCACCACTATTCACAGAAGCACAAGTAAGGATATAGATTTGAAATATTCTCATTGATACTAAGAATTTTCTTAAAAATAAAATTTCCTTAAGAAGGAATTTAATCACATATTTCTGAAAATTAGAAGAATTTTAATCATAGAAATTTAGAAAAAGCTCACTTTCTTCCTTTAGAGAGAGAGATTAGAATGCAGTTTTTATTGGGGATGAGAGAACAGACTGATAATTACAGCAAGAACATGCTTTTAAAAGATATTAAAAGATTTGAAACTCCAAAGAAGGGTGAAAATGATTTTGCAGATTTAAAACAGATTAAATATAATGTGATAATATAGCATTGTTGTTTTACAAATGGACTATACATATTTTTTCATTTAAAAATCTAGAGGTATTTTTATTGTGAGAGAACATATTTAATGAAAGCGAAATATAAAAGAAGAAATTTTAAATTATTTAACTATTTAGAATATATTAGTCTTTTCAAATGAAATCAGTTTGCAAGACAAACTATTGCCTTTTTCTTCTTCTAGATCCCTAGACTGCAATGATAAATGTAGCAAAGGCGGAAAAAATCTAATAAAAATATTAATCGGAAATATTTCAATGTGTACTAATTATGGTGTTCTTCAAACTCTTCTGATATTCCATTTAATAAAGTAAAGACATGAGTTGACCTTTACTCCTTCTGAGACCATGGATATTCATGTTCTCTTCCTGGATGCAGTATTGTGCAATTACCATCAAAAATAATATTTTACAAGTATTTAAACAAAACTGTAATTCCACCCATTGGAAATAAATCTGCTGCAGCTTTGTCCTTCTTAGAAAAGAAGAATCTGCTATGGAGGAAAAGAAAGAATAGAATAGCTGCTCAACCTGTATCCATTTATACTCTCTAAGAGCAGGGGTGTCAAACTTGTGGCCCGTGGGCTGATTGCATCAGATACTAGCTATGCTCATGCCCAGTTTAGCCCTCCTATTTAACATCTACATGAAACCGCTAGGTGAAATCATCCGATGATACGGTTTGGGATATCACCAATATGCAATGCGCTCTACATGGGGCTACCCTTGAAAAGTGTTTGGAGACTACAGTTGGTCCAGAATGCAGCCGCGCGAGCTATTGTGGGTGCACCTAGATACACCCACATTACACCAATTCTCTGCGAGCTGCACTAGCTCCCTATCGGTCTCCGGACACAATTCAAGGTGTTGGTTATTACCTTTAAAGCCCTACATGGCTTAGGGCCAGGCTATCTTCGAGACCGTCTTCTACCGCATAGCTCCCAATGACCAGTAAGATCCCACAGAGTTGGTCTCCTCCGGGTCCCGTCAGCTAAACAATGTCGGCTGGCGGGCCCACGGGGGAAGGCCTTCTCTGTGGCTGCCCCGGCTCTCTGGAACCAATTACCTTCTGAGATCTGGACTGCCTCCACCCTATTGGCCTTCTGGAAAGCAGTAAAGACTCTGGCTTTTCTGGCAGGCCTGGGGCCATTGATCTCGCTGCTGCAATCTTGTGAGACACAGCTATGAATGAAGTGTATGGGTTTTTAATGTTTTTTTAAAAACAACTTTTATGGTATATTGTTTGCATTATTTTTTGTTGTAAGCCGCCCAGAGTCCCTAGGGAGTTGGGCGGCATAGAAATGAAATGAAATGAAATGAAATGAAATGAAATGAAATGAAATGAAATAAATAAATAAATAAATAAATAAATAAATAAATAAATAAATAAATAAATAGCAGATTGCAGCTGAGGAAGAAAATGAGTGGATCAGAGCAAATTATAGTTTGCTCAGATTTAATTAACTGGGCCAATAAACTATCGATTCAGCATAGGTTAAAGATAACTGTGCAGCTGCATCCTTCAGTTCACTAAGACAGTTGAGATCTGTTATTGGAAAACTGGCCAGAGCAAGACTGCCTGTTTTTCCACAATAGTAGCAATGAAGCTAAGAGAAGATTTAAAAGATACACCCAGTTTTAATGTATACTTTAAATTTTACTGGGATGATAAATTTTACTAGGATCACCAGGGTGAGGAAGCAGCAGAGAGTGCCTGATGCAAGGCAGAATATGCAATCCTCCTCACAAGCTGATAGAAACATTGATCCTGCTCCAGGTTTTACCCCAACTAGCTATATAACTGCACAACTAAAGTCATGAAGAAACCAAAGCATTAGTTGATAGGTTAATGGAATTCATACAAAGGCAGAGGAGATAGTTGGCAACTGCGCAGTTTGTTTAGCTCACTCTAAGGGAAGAGGACTAAGGCCACATTCCTCCTCACAACATAATGTGAGGTACCCTTTCAGATGATGCAATTGACTTTGACCCTATATTTCCTATGGTATTCCTGGCTGTAAAAAGCTCACCTTTAAAAGAATTAAAAATATATCCCTATTAAATTGTATATGGACAATCAAGGCCTTTGAACTTAATTGATCTTAATCCAGAAAGGTGTTTCATCCAGATTCATGGTCAACTTAATTACAGTGTATGTGTTATACAATCTGTTCATCAGGAGCAGCACCAAATCAAAAGGGTGAGTCACTACATTGTAATCAAAACAGGCTACATCAGATAGTACCACATAATCAATTACAAGCAGGATATTGGATGTATCACAAAGTGCATCAGAGAAAAGGCTGTCTCTTTCCAAGGTGGAAAGCCACAGCAGTGCAAACTTGACAGCCTAACCTCATGGGTTCACCTCGGTCATCTCAGGTGCACTCCGCCTCCAGAAATCCCAGAAGCAACCTCTACTAAAGAAATTGTTCTAGGTTTTTGGGAAGTAAGCAGACGAGAGAAGAATAGTGAAGCTTTGACTAAGAAATCCTGAAGAGCTCTTAAGAAACGTTTTAATAGATTTTTTAGGCAAATAGTCATCAGAGCAGTTTAACTGTGACATTTTGCTCCTGCAATTATTATTTAGCTTTTTTAATTGTACAGTTATTCTTTCCTTTCTCTACTTGCTTGCAGCAAAGCAAGGTTCTGCTAAAAACTGTATTCATGTTGGTAAGTGTGGTCTACCTGCAATTATGAACACATTGGATGCAACAGCCACTGGGCCTATCTACCTACCAATAACTTTTATTTAACTTTAGTTCACTCCATAATTTTTTTCTGTACTTTTGAGGGAACAAATATACTTTATAGAAGTACCAGAGCAGTCTTTGGAGGTACTCCGTAAACTGCCTCCAATGCATACACCAGTCAGCCTTTGTTTCTGTTTTTTGAAATATTTTTTATTGCTTTCTATCATGTATTTCCTTTCTATGTTGAGCAGTGTGTTCTCTAGGTGTCCAAGGTGTTAACATACAAGCATATAAACTCATCATCATCATTATGATCATATATATAAACAAATATGTGGTAATATATAAATATGCGATAACATCAATCATATTATAACATATAATATCTTCCATTATAGTATCAATTATATAACTGTCAAAAATATTTACTCATCTGTTTTTCTTTCTCCTGTAAACCATATTTCACCTAATTCCATTCCTCTAACCTCAATATCTGACATTTAACTATTTATAGAATAGTTCCATGTTATGAAATAGTCCGAGTCTGCTTTTCTTTTAATTTTTAGGGTTAAGCTATCCATCTCTTCACATTCCAGAATTTTTTTGATTATAGTATTGTCTGCGGGGGTTTTGGGGGTTTTCCAACATTGTGCAAGATGTGTAGAACCAAATATGTGTTACCCTTATTATAATTTCCTGGAAATATGCCCAACAAAAATATCTCAGTGTCACTGCGTTCTTGTATTTGTCAGCTGGGCTCCCATTCTGAGACTTACGGTAGACTGATCTGACACTCAGGTTTCAGATCTATTTGTTGTCCTATCATATTTTTCAGCCATATGTGTATTTTCTTTCAGTATTTTTTGGCTTTGGGACATGTCCACCACACATGGTAGTATGAGCCTGGTGTCTGATTGCATTTCCAACATTTAACCAATTTGTTTTTATACATGTTCGCTAATCTTGCAGGTGAGTAATGCCATCTGTAAAACATTTTATAGAGGTTTTCTTTGTATGCTGTTGACATTGTAAGTTTATGATTTCTATTCCATAATTTCTCCCACCTATCCAAATCTATTGTACTGCCAAAATGCTTAGCTCAAATTATCATTGTTTCTTTTACTTGATCTTCTTCCAATTTGCAAGTTAATAAGTAATTGTATAGTCTCTTAATTAATTTTTGATCTGTTCCCATTAATATCTGGTCCAGCTCATTGAAAAACACATATTTCTGCTTGTCTTTTTCGTAGCTGGATTGTATTTGCAACTGTGGCCACCATAATAGGTCAATTCCTAATCTTTTTCATTCTTGTTCGTTTAATAAGTCCTTGTATCTAATAATTTTATCCATATTAATGACATTGGGATATATCCATGCCTCTATTATAGATAACCATACTAGCTCTTTCAAAGAGTGTTGTTGTTTAATTTTGGTCCATGCTAGCAGTAGTGAATTTCTAATGTGATGCCTCTGGAAGTAGCTGTGTATCTTGCCCTTCTCATACCATAAGAAGGCATGCCATCCCAGTTGCAGATCATGACCTTCCAATGTTAATAGCCTTATATTGCTCAGATTGACCCAATCTTTCAGCCATTAAAGTGCCAATGCTTGGTAATCCAGAAGATCAAAATCTCCTCTACTTTTAAGTAGAGATCTTGTAACAGTTTTAATTTTATTCTCGCCTTTTTCTTTTGCCAGACAAATTTTAATATCAACTTATTTAGGTCTTCAAAATATTTTCCCCCAATTTTATTGGAATCATCTACAACAGGTATAATAATCTTGGCAGGATGTTCATCTTAATCATAGCTATTCTCCCCAATAGGAACAGTTGCAGGTTTTGCCAGTTTTCGAAATCCATTTAATTTCTACTTTCAATTTGTCGTAATTGTCTTCTTTGAGAGTTACACATCTTGCCATCAATTGGATCCCTAAGTATTTAACTTTTTTTACAATTGGCATATTCATTATTCTTGTAAATTCTCTCTTTTGTTTATCTGTAAAATTTTTAACCAATATTTTTGTTTTCTCTGTCATTTCACTGTATAATCAAAGTCAGTAGATACTGTACAGTACAGTACATTGAAATAATTTTCTTTCAACAATTGGCAGGCATGAAGCAACTTTAGCAACATTATTTTCTGGCCAAAATGACGTCAAATAGATTTCCTTTCTTTAGCTGTATATCTTTGAAGCCAGCTGTGCTGAGGAATGAATGATACTCTGATGGGGTCCGTACTTTTCCTTCAGTATTAAGCAGCACTAAGAGGGAGTACATGGCAATAGGAAAAGGCAAAGTCTTGTCTTTATCTAATGTTGGTTCCACAATTAATACTCCACCACCTGTCAAGATATAGTTAATATATAATATATAGTTTAGGAATAATAATAATAATAATAATAATAATAATAATAATAATAATAATAATAATAATAATAATAATAATAATAATGATGATGATGATGATGATGATGATGATGATGATGATAATAATAATCCCCTCCGAGGAGCTCTACCTTGTCGTGGTGGAGGGGCTTGCGTGCTCTAGTGATCCTAAGGGCTATGCTGAACAGGTGCAACCATATCAGACAGACCTTAGGTGAAGGGCCAGACAAAATCTGCTCCACAACCCATTCAAATATGGTGAATACAGAAAAAATGAAATTTATGCCGGCTGAACCGTCGCCCGGATTAACAAGGGTTCCGTTGGATGCTATGGCTCCTGGGCATTCTACGCAAAATGAGTTACAGGGCTCAACTCCCTCTGCTAGGCAACCAGGGCATGGAGCTGACAAGCTACTGGAAGAAAAACCCAAAAAGCGAAAAATCTGGACCAGGGAAGAAAACACCTCTATTATGAAAGCTTACTATCAGTCTGAACCAGCAAAACATGGATTTCAAAAAAGAATGTATCAGATTTGGAAGATGAACCATACGGACTGTGACACCAGTGAACAAAGGTTAATGGACCAACGACGTGTAATCCTAAACCACAAATTTTTCACTACAGAAGAATTAATAGCAATAGAAGAGAAAGCAATTAATGGTCTGAGTACAACAACAAAGAGGAGTAACATCAAGAATGATTTCCAGACTCAAAAGCAAATTGAGGAAGAAAGGGAAGAACAGGATACTGAAATGGATGAAGATAAAGAACAAGGAAGCACTAAAGAACAAACACCAACAGATAGTGCTCAATTAGCTGGAAAAATAAAGCACCAAATGGAAGATGATGAAAGAACACGTTTGCCAAAGCTGAACCAAGTGAACCGGAAAGAATTGAGAAATGTACTAAAAAAGGTCAATGAGGCTGTGCAAACTATTCGAACCACTACATTAGCCGAAACTAACCAACTGATGTATGCAGCAGCTGTCATAACCACCAAAGAACTAGGGTTGAAAATACAAAAGAACCAAAGAGGCAAGAAGGGGAAGCCTAAGTGGAAAATTCGGTTAGAATTGAAGATCAAAAAAGTATGTGGAGATTTGAGCAACTTGAAGAACCTAAGGCAAGGTCAGCTAAAGAACAAGCAGGTCAAAAGCAGCCTGGAAGCAAGATACGATCTAAGGAATAAGGAAATTGCAGTAGTAATTGAAGAGCTGAAGCAGAGGGTTGTTGCCATTGCTGAAAAAATTAAAAGGTATGAAAACCGAGTAACTCAGTTCAAGGAAAACTCACAGTTCAGAGCAAATCAGCACCAGTTTTATAAGAATTTAGAAAATGGAAATGGAGTAACAACAAACGAAGAGCCTGATAAAGAGAAAGCTCTGAAATTCTGGAAGAATTTGTGGGAAAACAACAAGAAGCACAACAGAAATGCAAAATGGATCAAACAGGTTGAGGACTCTATTAAAATGCATAAAATGGAAGACGTGAAAATAACAAAAGCAATGGTGCAAAGACAGTCAAGAAAAGTGAAGAACTGGAGTGCACCTGGACCGGATGAGCTGCATGGCTTCTGGTTAAAGGCACTTACAAGTCTGCACAAAAGATTGGCAACCCAGATGAACCAGATCCTAAAAACACCTGAAAATGATGGATGGATGACAACTGGAAGGACATTTTTGATCCAAAAAGATAAAGAAAAAGGAAAGGACCCTGGAAACTATAGGCCAATCACCTGCTTGCCAACAACACACAAGCTTCTTACTGGTATCATTGCAAACCAAATCTATGGATACCTGGAAAGAAATAACTTGCTTCCTGTAGAACAGAAAGGATGCTGCAAAAACTCAAGAGGAACAAGAGATCAATTGCTGATCGACAAGCTAATCCTGAAGAACTCAAAGAAAAGACAAACCAACCTGTTCATGGCTTGGATAGACTATAAGAAAGCATTTGATTCAGTTCCCCATAGCTGGATCAAGAAATGCCTGGAAATATTAGGCATCAGCAGCAACATACAAAAATTCATGGAAACTTCAATGAACCTCTGGAAAACAAAACTTATGGCTAATGAAGAAGAACTGGGTGAAGTTGAAATTAAACGAGGCATTTTCCAGGGCGATTCCCTTTCACCCCTACTTTTTATACTCTCAATGCTACCACTCACAATCATTTTGAAGAAGATGAACTGTGGATACGAACTTGCAAAGAAAGGACTGAAAATCTCGCACTTGATGTACATGGATGATTTGAAGCTGTTTGGTAAAACAAAAGCTGAACTGAATTTATTAATTGAAAACACAAAAGAATTCAGCCAAGACATTGGTATGCAGTTTGGAATTGACAAATGTGCAACAATAGCAACCAAAGCAGGCAAGATCATAGAAGAGGATGGAATAGAACTAGAGAATGAAGAAATGATAAAGGCAGTAAAATCAGAAGAAGGCTACAAGTACTTGGGAATTTTAGAAGCCTCTGACTTAATGCATAATAAAGTCAAGGAATTAACTTCAGCCAAGTACATTCGACGAATTCGTAAGATATTAATGTCCAAATTGAGTGGAGGAAACATCATAAAAGCCATAAATACCTGGGCTATACCTGTGATTAGATACTCTGCAGGAATAATTGACTGGACCCAGATGGAGTTAGACAATTTGGACAGAAAAACAAGGAAGCTTATGACAATGAATCATGCCTTGCACCCTAAAAGTGATGTTGACCGATTATATTTACCAAGAGCAGAGGGTGGTCGAGGACTCCTACAAGTAAAGCAGACTGTCGAAGAAGAAAAATGCAGCTTGAATGGTTACATCCAGAAAAGTGAAGAACCAATGATTAAGGAAGTAAATAAAGGAGGCCTTTTAAAGACAACTAAAACAAAAGCAGAATATAAGAAAGAAGTAATTGAGCAGCGAGCTGAAAATTGGAAACACAAAGCTCTGCATGGCCAATACTTGAAAAGTATTGAAGGCAAAGCTGACCAGAAACTAACTTGGAACTGGTTAAGATCAGGAGTACTGAAAAAAGAAACAGAAAGCTTTATTTTGGCAGCTCAAGAACAAGCCCTAGCCACAAACTGTATGAAGGCAAAAATTCAACATGTTACCACCAACAGCAAATGCTGCCTCTGCAATGAAAAAGAAGAGACAGTTGACCACCTGATCAGTGGGTGCAGCAAAATTTCACAAACTGACTACCTACAATGCCATGACCGTGTTGCTAAAATCATTCACTGGAAATTGTGCCAGAAGTTTGGATTTGAGTACAGCAAAAACCACTGGGAACATCAGGTTGAGAAAGTTTTAGAGAATGAGAAACTCAAGATCTTGTGGGACTTTAGGATTCAGACTGACAGGCACTTGGTCCACAACACACCTGACATAACAAGAGTTGAAAAGAAAAAAATATGGTTCATTGACATTGCAATACCTGGTGATGCTCGAATTGAAGATAAGCAGCAAGAAAAAATCACAAAGTACCGGGACTTACAAATTGAAGTTGAGCGACTGTGGAAAAAGAAATCGTGTGTTGTCCCAATTGTAATTTGAGCCCTTGGAGCAATACCCAAAGGGCTACCCCGCTATTTGGAAATTCTAAATTTGCCGGACTTGAACATTTTGATTCTACAAAAAACCACCTTACTCGGGACAGCTTACATCCTCCGACGATACCTTAACAGTTCCTAGGTCCTTGGTTAGGACTCGAGCTGCTGAGCTATTAACCAGCCTCAAAGGCTGGGAATCTCACTAAAGATTAACCAATAAATAATAATAATAATAATAATAATAATAATAATAATAATAATAATAATAATAATAATAATAATAATAATAATAATAATAATAATAATACTTCAGATGTGACTATGTTACAATTACAACAGCATAACTACTTGACTACTAAGATCAATCGTGTAAATGACCTAAGTTTAACTAGAGTGGCATTAAGTTTTATAGAGTAAGGCCACTTTATAAGGTACCTTTGCATGCTGGATATGATTTATATAGTATCCTAAGGCAGCCATGAAGTCACTGTAGGTGTATCCTCATTTTTGCAGACACTTATGAAGATATACACCCCCTAAAGGTCTGCCCACTCCCACAATCTTCTCTCTTCCCTTCCATATTGTCAGCTATCTTGCAATTTCTTTGACTGAGAAGATGCTCCTCCTAGTCTAGCTGCCATCTGCATTCCCTATTCAAAGAGAACACCCCCCTAGAAAACAAGCCGTGGACAATTTCTTCAAGATCTAAGTTAAGTTTTTCAATAGATGAATGTGTTGGGATGCTCTTCTTCATCCTGTGATTTCCTTCACTGGAAAAAAAAAGGCAGCTTGTATATAGTATTCTTAATCCAAAGAAATCCAAGGTAGGGAAAGCAAGACAGATGATGTTCTACATTTCATAAAAGGGGAAATACAGTGAGAAGTTCTGGCATACCTGGATATGGTACAGATTATATCATGAATTAAAATACACAGATGCCAAATTGCTCCATGTAAAGCAAGTTGGAGAGAAAAGGTTTCTTGCTTCATACAATATAGAACGCTTTTCCATGCAAAAAAAAAATCTGTCACTTTTTTTGGGGGGGGAATGATATCAAGTAAATATTCTGCAACAGTTTTATTTTTCTTTCTTTTAACATTATTTCTCTCATATCAGGCATCTTCCCAAGTCAATTGGTGGATACCATCGAGTCCTGATACTGGATCTAATTCTTCATCCCATCTTACACTATCTTTTGCTGGTTACAGCTTCTTCCACTTTTTCTTTTTATATATAAATTTATATTTAAATTTATATAAAATGTTTTATAGATGGCATTTACCACCTGCTAGGTTAGCTAAAATGTTTAAAAATATGTCTATCAAATGTTGGAAATATAATCAAAAGATGGGCACATTCATCATATGTGGTGGACTTGTGCTAAAACAAAAAAAAGTTTTGGGCAAAAATACATGTCTAGAAAAGATAATAGGGAAACATGTAGATTTTAAACCTGAACTGTTTTTATTAGAGATGATATTGGAAAAATTTGATAATAAAAGTATATATTTAGTATTACATATTTTAACAGCAGCTAGGATTTTCTTCGAAACTCAGATACATTGGCCACCTAATGAGAAGGAAGGACTCACTGGAGAAGAGCCTAATCCTGGGAAAGATTGAGGGCAAAAGAAGAGTGGGACAACAGAGAATGAGGTGGCTGGATGGAGTCACTGAAGCAATAGGCGTGAGCTTAAATGAACTCCAGTGGATGGTAGAGGACAGGAAGGCCTGGAGGAACATAGTCCTTGGGGTCGTGATGGGTTGGACACGACTTTGCAACTAACAACAACAAAAGGATTATCTTCGCACAGTATTCGAAAGATGAAGAAACATTGCAAGATAAAGAGATAATTAAGAAAATACTAGACTGTGGAGAAATGGATAGACTTACATTGAAAATCAAACGGAAAGAAGACACAGAATATTATCAAACATGGAACTTATTTTACCAGTGGTTGGAAAAAAAGGGGTGGAGAGTAAGAATGGAATCTGTATTGTTAAGCAAATTAAATACCCAGACAACACGATGTTTATTAAGCACTAAGAAATGTAATTAATAAAAAGAAAATTTTTTTTTAAAAAAAGGTCTATCTCTAATGTACAAACAAGTGAATGATGAAAAACAGAGAGATGCAACCAGGACATTGTAGAAATCATGAATGCCATAGAGTTCTGCCTAGCAGGGAGAAAAGCTATCCAGCACACTTGGGACACCTCCTTGCACTATAACTACAGTGAAGAGTTTAGAGTGTGTTTAGAGTTTATTGGATTTCTATACCGCCCTTCTCCCAGGGGACTCAGGGTGGTGTACAGCCACATTAAAACACATGAATTTATAAAATTTAAAACCAATTAAAACAAATAATCTCCTTCTCCTTCTCGCACATCAGATTTCCTCTAGGGTGACTTCTCCTACGCAGAAAACATGTATACTCATAGGTTCCTGCCAACTCTACAGAGTGGAAGGATCTGACAGGTTCTGACCAGTTCTGGAGAACTGGTAGCGGAAATTTTGAGTAGTTCGGAAAACTGGTAAATACCACCTCTGACTGGCCCCATCAATTATCTGCCTCCCGAATCCCATTTCGGGAGGAAATGGGGATTTTGCAGTAACCTTCCCCTGGAGTGGGATGGGAATGGAGATTTTACAGTATCCTTCTCCTGCCACGCCTACCAAGTCATGGCCACCAAGCCACGCCCACCAAGCCACACCCACAGAACGGGGTAGTAAAAAATTTTGAAACACACCACTGGCAAGGAAGTGTAGCTACCATTCTTTCCCCTTCCTCAAATCATCGGAACTGGGGAAAAAGAGACCTATTGAGCCATTGTGCCTTTCAGCCAAGCTAGTGAGTGTGTCCAAAAATGACAGACCGCCATAAGCCACTCTGATAAATTTACAAATTGACTGGAAGTATGGCTATCACAACCATAATAAACAGATGTTAGTGTGCGAAATCAGTTCTCAAGGGAAAACTGATGAAAGATAAAAGCCTTCATGACATCTCTGCTAACCAGACCCTACATCAACTTCAAAGCGAACCTGGGCGAACTGGTAGCAACCCACCACTGTGAAGTATCTACAACACCTGAAGGCAAGCTCTTCCACTTATTAATTGTTCTCACTGATAGGAAGTTTCTCTTTAATTCCAGGTTGCTTCTATCCTTGATTAGTTTCCATCCTTTGTTTCTTGTCTTGCCTTCTGGTCCTTTGAAAAATAAGTTGACACCCTCTTCTTTGTGGCAGCCCCTCAAATACTGGAATACTGTTATCATGTCACTTCTGGTTCTTCTTTTTTCTAGACTAACCATACCCAATTCCATGGTCTCCAGGCCCTTAATCAACTTATTATTTGTATGTTGAAAGAAAGTTTTTTTTATTATTATCTGTGACATTTGTTGCAAGTCTTAGTTCATTCTGCACCTTAGTTTCCTGACTTCATTTTTGTAGATTCAGGCTATGTGCTGGTATTCTGCCTTAGTCATGTGTCCCTCTTTCCATTTTTTGTACTTATCCTTTTTGTCTTTCAGTTTATCAGGGAGATATTTGTGCAACATACTGGCTTCTTCTTGGATTTCTTGTTTTTATTTTTCAGTGGTATTGTGCTGACATGGGCTTTTATGATCATAGTTTTCAGAGTTTCCCAAGTTCCTTGAGTTGTTTTTCCCTTTAAGATTTTGAACTAGGGAATCTGTCCTAGGCTCCCTCTGAGTTTGTTTTAAACAAATAAACTCTTTTAAAGTTTAAGACACTGATTGGATTATGTTTTATTGCTTGTGTTTGCCTTATATTGAATTCTAATGTTACCTGGTCGATCTCGCCCAAAGTTCTGGCAACATCAACCCCCCCCCATCACTTCTTCTATTAGTAAGAATTAGGTCCAGTATAGCTTTTCCTCTAGTTCCCTCCTCTATCTTTTGAATCACAAAGTTGTTGGCTAGGTTGGTTAGGAATCTCTTCAATCTCCCACTTGCTGCAGAGTTTGTTTCCCAGTTAATATCAGTATAGTTAAAGTCTCCCTGTGGTGTGTTTCCTATATACGTTTCTTAATTGGTTAGTAAAAAGCTCATCTATTTCCTCTGCTTGGTTGGGTGGCCTGTAGTATATGCCTATAGCAATGTCATTCTTTTTTCCTTTTACCCATATGCATTCTAGAAGGTTTTCAACCTTGGTTTTGTACATTTCGTTAGAGATATAATGAACTTTTACATGCATGTACTAATAATATTATGAACTAGTACTTCAAGTTCACTCTGTTTGTTCCCTAAACTTTGAGCATTAGTATATAGGCATTTGAGTCCTTTATGGCTGATCTTGCATACATTTCTTATATCTCCGCTTTGTAACTTGTAACCTTCCCATCACTCTCTACTTCATTATGTGGTTGGTTATCTTGAGGTTTATGTTTGGAATTAAGTCTCAAAGATCCCAAAGATTGTCCTAGAGATCCTAAAGATTGATCAAAATCCCCTCCCCTCATTTGTAGTTCACTTTAAAGCTCTCCTGATATGTTGAGCCAGCCGTTTACTAAAAACATTCTTCCCAGTTTTGGTGAAGTGCAGCCCATCCCTTCCAGAAGCCCTTCATGAAGGTAATGCAAACTATGGTCTAGGAATCCAAAGTTCTCTTGGTGGCACTAACCTATGAGCCAGTGGTTCATTTCTAAATTCCCTTGTTCTCTCAGTATAACTATACAAAATAGTATACAAAAGTATAGAGGATTGGCTCCTATGCCATAGTTGGCAGTTTCCATAAATACAGCAACATAGGTACATACCAGGCTTACAAACATTAAACACTTTGTTTAGCAACTGCAGGCACTTTTCATCATTCCAAGTAAACAGGATCCTGGCAAAAATGTACAAATCTGCTTCAGGAATTGGATCTTTTAAAAAATCCCCTGAAATGAAATAATTAAGATACATTTAAAAATATCATCATCCTGGAAGAATGCTTTGGTCTCCCTATCTATCATTTAAAGCAAAATAAGCTCATCATGTTCTGACATTGGCAGAAATCCTAGAATAAACTCCAGTTTACCTCCATGCAAAGTAATCCGCGATGCTTCTGAGAAGCCATGAAACTTCTTTGATGTTTCCACTACTTCAGGGAGGTCAAAAAGGGTCACAGCACAATTTGGATAGATTGCAATCAGTTCCTTAGATAAGGCACCACAGCTTCCTTGAAAAAGGACAAAATTTAAAAAAAGAACTACTGTATTTTTCAGAGTATAAGACGCACCTTAATTTTTGGGAAGGAAAATAAGAAAAAAGATGATTGGCAGGTGGATCGGCCTCCCGGAATACCCCCAATCACCTCTCAGTTCGGAGAAGTTAATTTTAGCAACAGATTCCTTGGTTGTCAACTCTGTGCCTTGCTTTTTTTTTTTTTTTTTTGCCTTTTTTTCTGCCTCTGAAGCCTCCAAAACAGCTTCAGAAAAAAAGCTTCTGAAGCTCTGTTTGGGGGCTTTTTACTGAAGCTCTGTTTGGGGGCTTCTTTTTTGAAGCTTCATTTCTGATGCTTTTTTCAGCCTCTGAAACCTCCGTTTCAGAAGCTGGGTGGGGCTACATTCAGAGTATAAGACGCAGCCAGTTTTTCACCCTCTTTTTTACTCCGAAAAATACGGTATATAAAATAAAATTTTAAAATCTGTACTTCAAACAGTTTTTTGGTTTTACTGTTTTAAAATTCTTCAGCTACCTCTGTTACTTCAAACATCAAAGTCTGCTTTCTAGGTTCCATACAGCAATAAACAGAAATACAAGATATAATCTAATAAATATATTATCTAAATACTTTCCTTCATTTTTGTAAAATGCTTCTCTTCAGTTTTTTTCAATGGGCTAGATGTTCCATTTTTCAAAAAATCTATCCTATTAGCTATTATTTCTCTTTCCTTTTTGTATGCCTTCTTTTCATAGATACCTAAATCGTCTTTTTTCAGTGGACCCAATGAAATCTGAGCACGGTTAAAATTAATCCATCCTGCTGCCACTGCTTACAGCCCCATACAAGATTAACTTTCTTAAAGCTAATCCTTTTTTTTTATCCTCTTAAATTACATTAGCATTCCCCCAAGTAAATTGGCTTACCTAAAATAAAAAATAACTTTTTGGTGATAAAATTAGCAATTGTTGTCCAGTATATGGGAATAAACAATGTAATGGGAAGACTATACAAAAATTCCCATACAGTTATGGTAATTCTGTGCTTCACGTTTGAGTTTCCAAGGATGAGGGTCAAAAGCACTTGATCTTTACAACGAATGTACTGGCGATTGACAGTGTCTAGTAATATTACATTAACATACTGTGCACATAAATGCATTATATGTGTGAATAGGCACCCAAAGTCCAGTGGTCCGATATCAGGCCTTTAAACAGTGCATTCTGCATCCTCAAGGCATTACCAGTGCAAATGCAATTCTGTGTTGCTTTCTATCCTTAGCCAACTTTGTTCCAGACTTCAGATTTTTGTTATGTTTTTCCACATTCATACACTTTGATAATATCAATCCAGGCAAGCGGGGGGGGGGGGGCGGGAAACAGGGGGGAAAGGTGGGGGGCATCCAGGAATAATGCTTAGTTAAGCCCTTTAAAACTTAAAGTTGCCAATAATTGTTAGTAAATCTTTTTAAAACAGAAAAGCTCTGAAAACAGATTTGGCAAAGTAGATTTTTAATCTCTGAAGACATAGTGTTTGTGAAATAATGTAAAAGGCCAAAGAACCCACCCACCCTCCAAATCTTCAAATGATAGAAAGTCAAATTAATAATAAATAGAAAGTCAAATTAATAATCAAGCAAAATGTCTAAGAATTTGTGATACTTACCACCTATATCATAAATGAATTCAAATTCAGAAAGATCAAATGCAGTCAGTACTTCTCTTCCATGCAAACTCCAAGCCTCATTCATATACCTGAAAAAGACTTCAATGTTTTCTTCTGACCTAGAATTGAAATTTACACAATAAACTTATAGAAAACTTATAGAAAAGAGCACCACTATACCAATGTAAACTGTAATTTACATATTTAATCTGTAATTTACTAAGAAGAATCCAAAGATTATGAAGCCTTGATGTTCTACATCAACTTCAAAAAGTTAATATTTGATATTAACTTTTTTGATATTAACTTGGTAATATGTGATAAGGGAAATCAATTCTATTTGACTAGACTACCAGAAACAAAAGCAGTCTCTATGCTAGCTCTCATTGCAGATTTCACATGCTCAGATCAAAAACCAGTTAGACTGTGTCATGAAATGTTGCTTGCACACAGATTTCACACTTTCTTCTAATCCACATCCCTGGGAGTAAGAGATGTCTGTCGGTCAACTACAGCAGTGGCCTCCAACCTTTTGGGCACCAGGGACCACTTCCATGAAGAAATGTTTTTCCACAGACTGGATGGGGCTTGGTTTTCCATGCTGCCTGCATCCTGCAGATGGGGCTTCGCTTGTTTGCATGGCTTGGTTGCTGTCATGCCACAGACAAGTGTCGGTCCATGGACCGGGGGTTGGGGACCCCTGACCTACAGGGTCAGATTAGCCCAGTCTGATATTGATATAGAAAAAAATGTTTTCATTAAAAAGGGATTGGGGAAAGAAGGACAGAGAGAGGCTGGAAAACGATACTTATTATTTCCCGCAGTCTCTGAATTCTGGAAATCTCCAAGAAGCTGGAAACATCCAGGAAAGTGAAACAGGTTCATTTGCTTCAGGAAACCTTTATTTACGCACATAGAATTTGTGCTATGGAGGAATTTGCACTAAATATTTTACTTCTGTTTTATGATTGGTTTCACAGTAAGTCAGATGTTTAGAGTTTTATTTTTATTATTTATTTATTTAAATGTATTGGCCACTCCTCTCCAGAGGACTTTCGATAAGAATGGTTTTTTTTTTGGTTTTGATAAGTTTTATGTTTAAATTTCTTTGTACAAGTTATGAATGGAGTTATATTATTACATATAATATAATAAATATTACATAACAGATATGATATATGATATATAATAAATATTACATAACTTGTCATGTTTTCTCTCTGATGATTAACAAGTCAAAATAATGTTAATAATACAACCTTCTGTTTAGAATTTAGATTTGGTGAACAGAAGAAGATATAATATCATAAATATCAGAACTACTATAGTATACTATAGTATACTATAGTATACTATAGTATACTATACTATAGTATACTATACTATACTATACTATACTATACTATACTATACTATACTATACTATACTATACTATACTATACATTATTTTATACATTATATTATACCATACATTGTTATGTTATACATTGTTATACCATACATTGTTATGTTACATTATTATAAATATAATATAATGTAATATTATGGCCAGTTCGCTCCCACAGAGAGGGCGTCCTCAGGGTGCCGTCAGCCAGACAATGTCGGCTGGCGACCCCCAAGGGGAGAGCCTTCTCTGTGGTGGCACCTACCCTCTGGAACGATCTACCTCCAGAAATACGAGTGATCTCAGACCTCCTGACTTTTCGTCGGGCCCTAAAAACTTACTTTTTTCAGCTAGCTGGGCTGGCCTGATTCCATGTTGGTTTTAACGTTTGATATTGATTTTAATTGATATGTTTTAAATTATGGGCCAAATTCTATTTAATTAGTTTTAAATAATTATTTTAACTTTTGTGTACAAATGTTTTTATTTTAGCTGTTCACCGCCCTGAGTCCGAAAGGAGAAGGGCGGTATACAAATTTAATAAATAAATAAATAAAATAAATTATAATATGCTATATCTTCTGTTCACCAAATCTCTAGATTCTAAATAGAAGGCTATATTATTAATATTAGATTAACAAATATATATCCTCGAATTTCGATTTTCCATGCAAATTTATCATCATTTTCTTTATTTCCAAACACATCGTCTTTATCAGTTCGTTAAGTTCCTGTTCCATTTTATTCTTTCTGAGTTGCTATTATTCCAGTTTTAAGTCACATTACAGTCCTTTTTTAAAAATCATCAAAGTCTATCCTCTTATAGGCAAAACATAGCATCCTTAGTTCTCGCCAGTTATCGTTTTAAAAGTTCAATGTTTTATTTTTTTTCCTCGCTTCTTCAAAGGTTTTTTCAAAACAGACAATTCCATGTTATGCTCTTCTTTCTCCTATAGATGTCTCTCTATAATCCACTGTTCCACTCAGCTAATTAACAAATCGCTATTTTATTTGTAATCCACATCTGTTTTTACCAAATCCATAAAGAAAAAAAACCCATTTTTCACTTCTTCTCTCACTTTTATATACAACCAATCAGTTTGTAATCCAATCCAAATTAAATACAAATTCTAAATTTCCATTTCCATTTATCAATCACTTTTAATTCTTTACTCGGGTTCTTCTCATTCACCTGGCAACATGTATTCTTGAAAGCATGCCCTAGCTGTGAAATCTGCATGCAAATGGGGTGTGCTTTTGCTCAGTGTCTAGAAATTGCACAGGAGGCCCATGTTTTCGCAAGGCATCCAAACCCTCCAAAACCTATGTGAGAACAGGATGTGATTTTCTGCGGTGTTTGGAGGTTGAACAGGCCATGCGCATGCAGTGACCAAAGCTGCTTCACAAATGAAGATCTTGTGCAACCCGCAGCAGCCTATCTGCAAAAAAAACAAAAAAAACCAACCAAACAAAAAACCCTGCTGGAAAGTAAGCCTGAGGATAAGAAGCATCAGGCTTGCGCATCCTGGGGAACAGAATTTTGAGTAGCAATGAGGCTAAGGGCTGAAGTCGAGCTCTTGGCCTGGGCCTCAATTTCAGGCCCAGCCTTGGGGCTGACATCTAGTGCTGCTCTTCAGAGTGACATAGATTGACAGCCGAGAGGTGGGGAGAGAGAATTGTTTCTCTTTTGTTTGGGAGTGGGTGTGTGACACATCAACCCCAAAGGATTTGCCATCTGTGGTATAGATTAATATGTAATAGTTATAAAGAATTTGGGGCACTTTTGATTCCAACTTAGTTACCTCTGTTGTCCTTTCGTTCCATTTTCGGAAGATTTCAAGTTACACAATAGTTCAGCAGCATCTCCATTCCAGTGAGACTGGCATTTAAACGTTCAGCAATAATCGCTGAGGAGAGAGATTTACCTGACTCTCTTAGCAAGTCAAATATTCCAAATTCACAGGAAGTAAATATTATCTGAAAAGAAATGGAGAGATGTACCAACAGCAGAAAGTTTGAGAAAGGATGATCTTCCTTTAATTATTTAATTTTGTCTCCTCCAAAATATCTGAATAACTTATGAATAAGGATGAATGAAAGTCAATAATTATAAAACATTTACAAAGGAAGAGAGACTGTTTTAATTAGATGTGTTTTTTGTTAGCTAGAAGCCCTCTTCAGGATAGAGAATGCATGCCTTTCTCCAGTCCTGTCCCTTCGTAATGTCCGCTTGCTCATCTAGGAGGTCTGCAAGAGGAAGTCTGACTCTCTTGCACATAAGTGCAGCTTCCTATATAATTTGGGATACAGGTAATCCTCAAGTTACCATAGTTAGTGACCAAAGTTATGTCATAAACTCACCTCCACAAAATACTTATGATACAGTCCCAAAGTTATGAATGTTGCAGTACTATGGCAGTTGTTTACACTTATAAGCAATGTTTGCCCTGCTTATTCCTCCTCCACCCCGGGCTGGGCCTTCACAGGAACTGGGCCTCTGGAGACTCACTTACCTTGCAACGATCTAGTGAGCCATCAGTTCCTTTGCCTGCTTCAGTGCATTCACGGAGAACAGAGGCCTAAAGTAGTATGAGATCACACAAGAGCAGTAATGCAAGATCTCATGCTACTGATCTCCAGGTCTTCCCTTCATTTGCAAAGCTTTTGGCTGCAGATCTTGTCCAGGGCTCCATTCGTACAGAACAGAGGCCTAAAGTACTGTAGTGCAAGTTCACGTGAGATCAATAGCTTTTGGCAGCAAAATCTTCTTGGGGCCATGATCTCACACCACAGCCCCCAGAAGCTTCCAGTCTTGGCACAAAAAGCATTTGCAAGCTGATGTGTCATGCCCCCATTGGAGCCTGAACCTGTGGGAGAAGATGAGCTCGACCATGAGCCAACGGAGATTGAAGGGCGGCTTCGCTGGCTGCAAAGGAAAATGGGGAAAGGCAGGACCAGTCAGACTACCCCTCCTGATCCAAGAGCACAGAGAGTGGAGAGAAGGCAAGAACAGCACAGATTGAACAGGCTACTCAGGAAAAGAGTGCCCTGCCCATCTTCACAAGGCACACCTGGGGAATGAGGCTTAAAATGAGATGCTGTGGGCATTGTCAGGAACAAACTCTGAGTCCCTGAAGTGTTGAGTGCCAATGTTTGAACTTTCCAAGAGTACTTGCATTCTTTCTGGCTTTCTGGACTAATTACCTGGATCCTTTGCTTCCTGAACTCCTTGATTTGCTCTGCTGGATTTATTGCTATGCAGCCTTAGTGTACACAGCTCTGGGCTGGAATATTTGTAGCCAGAGGTTGCTTGAGGTATGTGTGGGGGTTTGTCATCTTTTCTCTGGGATTTGCCAGAAATGTGGGAGCGTTTGGGGAAATTTGGAGCAATAAAGGGGCGGTTTGAACTGCCAGCTGCTTGTGTTATCTCTGTGCCGTGCTCCCAGTCATCACACGATGGGAGGCTTGAAGCAATGCAATTTTGCTGTTCCAAAGTCTTGTTGGCTTGCAAATGTTTTTTTTGCTGAGACTGCAAGCGGGCAAAGAAACTACAACAAAGAGGCTGGAGAAGAGACAGCTCACTAGATCTTCACAAAGTAAGTGACCCAGTGCAGCAGGATGGGGTGGGAGCAATTGTGTGGACCCCAGAGAAGGAGCATGAGGGGGAGGCCTTGGTGGTCTGAAGCATGTAGCCTGTTCCATCGCTAGGACCTCCATGGCCTTCCCATCCTGAA